TTCATCACATTCTCTCTGCTCCGCCACATGTTTTCACAACGGGTAACTATATTTTCTGCCCCCATCCTCCATTTTGGTTGCCATGGGTGATGGACGAATCTTCGGAGAATCATATTTGTTTCTCATGTTATTTGTTTCCCCCCCATGCAGTTTTAGGTTGGCAGAATACTTGTGAGAGTGTAGATGACATAAAAGCAACGTTATCAGCTTTATCTACTGAAGTGGACATTGGCGTCCTTTATCGTGGTCTTGATCCGAAAAACAAGCATTACTTAGTTTCTGTGGTAAATGTTTGGTATTCTTTTGTCTGCTGTTCTTTTCCTTCTATGTATTTCTAGGGGCATGAAAGTATTTAAATTTCTCTGTACTAGCTCGAAACAAAATATAATCAAGTCACTGGAACTCAATATTCAAGTCCATCCATATTTCAGATACTCAATTTCCTGCTCCTATTTTGATAACTCTCACATGTTTCTTGTAAATGTTATATTGTAGTTTCAGCTCGTTTACTTGGTTCATAAAACCATTTCAATTGTTTGTTACTTTTATTTTTACCATTTCAACTAATTGATGAGTACTTTCTGTCATCTTTCATGAAGAGAAATACTTTTGTGATTGTATCTTTTTTGTACATAAAGCCTTATTTTCATGAATGATGAGTAAAAGTGACTATTTGATCAGGCCGAGTTCATTTTATTCCATTTTTCGGTATTATCTTGTTTGTTTCAAGAACATTGTCTATATTGTTCTCCAGTCTATCTCAAATATAAAGCTTCTGTTTTGGTTTGGGTATTATCTTGTTTGTTTCAAGAACATTGTCTATATGGTTCTCCAGTCTGAACTTGGGCCAGTTACAGATCTCAAATATAAAGCTTCTGTTTTGGTTTGGGTATTATCTTGTTTGTTTCAAGAACATTGTCTATATGGTTCTCCAGTCTGAACTTGGGCCAGTTACAGATCTCAAATATAAAGGTTTTTCTTGGGGGTCTCCTATGCAGATATTTTCTGTACTAATCCTAATATGCATATGTTTGAGCTTTATGTTTCTTTGCTTATCTTCATCTGCATATGCTTAAGCTAAGGTATATCTTTCATGTTGCTGAGTATAAGAATTACTTTGTTGTACGAAAAAAGTAGAGTAGGAATACTTACTATGTGAGGTACTTTTGGATATTGAACCATCTTCTGTTATTTAATTCTGGTGTGGGATGTGTCTAAAGATGGATGATCTTATCGCTTGATATTTATTTCAGGTTTGCTACTATGGACAGCATTATCACTGCTTTGCTTACAGTCGTGATCGTGGACAGTGGATCATGTATGACGACAAAACCGTGAAGGTAATATTCAGTTTCTTCCCATTTTTCCTTCTTATTTTTTAATAAGATTCTGTTATTATGGATATTTTATGTACAGGTAATTGGTGGCTGGGATGATGTTCTAGTTATGTGTGAAAGAGGGCATTTGCAACCGCAGGTCCTTTTTTTCGAAGCTGTAAACTAGTCCAGCTCAGCAAATGGTACCTCTCCAATAGTCTAAAGATGATCTGGATTTTCGCTGGTTTCTTTGAAGCTGTAATCTATTTCAGCTTAGAAAATATACCTCCATATACTGCAATGAAGATGTGCCATTGGGCTTCTCCGTTCAATCGTCGAAGGCAAGATGATACTTGTGCACTAATGTTATTCAATTGACCTGCAAAGTTACAAAATCATGTGAGAAACTGTACTATACTGTCAGAAGTTTGTCTGGATGATGAGAAAGTAAAGCAATTGGCCTGCTACCAAGGAAAACTTCTTCGAATTTGTGTATTACGATGGAATTTTTCAGAGGATAGGAAAGATAAGTGTAAGTTTTGGTGCTCTTGATACCTGGTAGCATTGGAAGAGTCAAGTTTTTGCAGCATCCGGAAATTTTGGAATCCTTACAATAAGGTGGCGTGGTTGAAGAGAGAAGTACTAGCCACCAGTTACCTGGTCATGAGGAACGTATAGATGTTTGATTTTGCGTTGGCAACATAACCTGGTATTGCCAGATATTGCTTCTGTACACAGGAAATTCTAGGTAATGATCATATATCTTCCTTTTTCAATGTAAGCATGTCTGTATAGATTGGTCTTTGGTCTTTAGTCTTTAAGTGATGCAGCCAATAGTAAGTCTTCCTTCATTTATTTTGTTTTTCCCTCTTTGAGGAAAAAAGAATTTTGGGTGCCCAGATTGTTATGGGAACTTTGTATTACGGATGTCTACGATAATTTAATGAAAGGGAAGACACTATATTTGTTCATCAAGCAAAAAAGTACCTCAGTAATTCAAACTTTCCCGTTTGACTTTTTTAAAATTCCAGCTTGAGCTTCTGGCTTTTCTTTTTGCTGATCATGGTAGATTAATAGCCTGTTTGCCCAAGTTTCTTCGAGGCTAAAAGTACTTTTTTCTTTATATTTTTAAAAAGTATTTTTTTTTTCCAAAGTTGAAGTGTTTGACTAATAGCCTGTTTGGCAAGCTTCTAAAATCAGCTTATTTTGAGAAGTGTTTTCTCAAAAGCGTTTTCTTAAAAGTATTTTTGGTGAGAAACAATTTGTGTTTGACTAATTAATTTGAAAAGCACTTATGAGAAATGATTAGTGTAAAGACCAAACTTTTAAAAAGTACTTTTAAGTGTATTTTTTTTTCAAAAGTATTTTTCAAATAAGTGCTTTTGGACAGAAGTTATTTTTTTTTACTTCTTCAAAACTGCTTCTACTTAGAACACTTTTTTCTTCTTCTAAAAGCTTGACCAAACACCTTAACTATGGAAAAAAAATATTTTTTTTCAAAAAACAAAATGCTTTTGGTTTTGGAGAAGCTTGGTCAAACATGCTATAAACTTTTAGAAGAAAAAAAGTGCTATTGAGTAGAAACAAAAATAATTTTGGAGAAGCAGAAAAAAATTGTTTCTCCCCAAAAGTACTTTTCTGAAAAGCATTTTTGAGAAAAATACACTTAGAAACACTTTTCAAAAGTTTGGTCAAACATTAATTGCTGTTCAGAAGTGCTTTTCAAATTAATCAGCCAAACATAAAATGTTTCTCACCAAAAATACTTTTGAGAAAAACACTTCTTAAAATAAGGCGATTTAGAAGCTTGGCCAAACAAACTATAATTATGGGGGTTCCAGTATTTGTTTTTCTTTTCTTTAGGCAAAATACATCAAATAGACACTTTAACTTGATACATGTGTGTCTCGTAAACACTCGTGACTGACATGGCAAAATGTGTGTTTTCACTCAAATTTGAGGGCGTGAAGAGGCATAAAATTATATTTTTGCTTTAATTTTTTTTCATGTGGACCTCGCTTTCTTCATCTCCAATCTAGTCATAGCGATCATCACAATCAAGCCACAACATCAACACTACCCTCACACCACCACCAACAAGGAGATGCAATTTGTAAAAGTTATAAAACATTCATAGTAAAATTCAAATTGAAGTGAAAAATTAAGGAAGGAAGTAGAACGAATAGAAAATTAAAAAAAGATACGTTATTTGTGTAACGACCCGTCCGGTCGTTTTGAGATTTAAGGTTCTGTTCAGTGGTTCGGGTCTTGAGTAGCTTCCTATAATGTATTATGACTTGCGTGCACGCTCGGATTTGATTTCGGATGATTCGAAAAAAATTCGGAGGAGTGATTCTCACTTTAGGAGTGAAAAATATTGACCGAGGTTTGACTTTTGTTAAAACGACCCCATAGCGGTATTTTGATGGCTCCGATAGGTTCGTATTGTGATTTTGGACTTGGGCGTATGCCCAGAATCGATTTTGGAGGTCCGTAGGTTGATTTGCCGAAAGTTGGCAATTTGAAGGCTTAGAATTTTGATAAGTTTGACCGTAGGTTGACTATATAGCTATCGTGTTTGGATTTCTGTTTAGTTCATGTTCCACCCCTTTATTTCCAATTATACTCTTATATGCCTAAATTGAAATTGTTGCCTCTTTTGTTGCCATGTTACCTCTTCCGTAGTTGATTATCCTTAATTGAAGTTATTGTTATCTTCTCCTTTGATGGCTTATCCTTATTTGAAGTCATTGTTACATCTATCTCTCTTATCGTTGAGTTGTACTTATTTGGAATCATGGTTACATGCTATCTCTCTTAACGTTGGGTCATTCTTATTTGGAATCATTGTTACATGTTATCTCTCCTATTGTTGAGTTACTCCTAGTTGATATCGTTGTCACACGCTATCTCCCTCATTGTTGAGTTATTCTTGTTGAAACCACTATTACTTGTCATGTCTTTCCTTGTGAACCCGTTCTTCCGTCTCTTTGTGTTTTGAAATTCTTGTGTTGATTTACTTGTCGTATTCTTGTGATATTGTTGTTGTTGTTGTACTTAGTGTTGTTGAGCTGAAGGCTATGTGTGGTTGTGGTATTGAAATTGTTTTGAGGAAATGTTGTGGCATACGGGCACATGTGGTGCGAGTTGTTATACTATGTTGTTATGTTTTGGCACACGTGATATTGTTGAGAGGATTGTCGGGGTGTAAGCACGTGAGTTATCTGTGCTATTGTTATTATTGATAATTGCACATGCGGCGTGACAAGGTGAGCTATATATATATATATGGGTTTGCGCATGTGGCGAGACAAGGCAGAAATATTATTATGCACGTGCAGCGAGACAAGGCAGGCACTTACTTTATTATTGCGCACGTGGCGAGACAAGAAGAGCTATGTCAGGGATGATTTGTGATGACCTATGGGCATTATTATTGATGATATTTGTGTAGCGGTGTGCCTACCTTGAGTGAGTTATGCATTTAACATTTTGTTGTGTGGTTTCCTATGTACCATTCATTGTCTCTGCTCTTACTTGTTGACTCGAGTTGTGATAGAACACTTGCACAATCATACGCGTAATTAATCACTCATATCGGTTTTAAGAAGATGAATCCCGATGTTTATTGATCATTTACATGTATTCTCGTTTACTTGCCTTTTGTGTGAGAGTTGTACTATTGGCACGTGTGTTGTCCGTGCGATTATGCGTTATTATTATTGATGGCACGAGAGTTGTCCGTGCGGATATGAGATATTATCACTCTCTTAGCACGTGAGTTGTCCGTACAGATATGAGTTATTGTCACTCCCTTTGCACGTGAGTTGTCCGTACATATATGAGGTATTAATAGTATTGGCACGTGAGTTGTCCGTGCAACACGTGAGTTGTCCATGCGGTTGTGATTTGTAATGTGGGCACAAGATGCCAAGTGATTAGGGTTCGTGAATTGGGACCCGTGAATTGTGATTTATGAGGTGTGGTACCTCGGAAAAATTCTTGAATAAATCTTGTGTTAAAGTGGTTGTTGCTATTGAGTTGCTACTTATTTTCCTTACTCAGTTTCATCAGATTTAAAATTGTATTTAGCTTACTCTACGACGTTATTATCTGTTGTGCCTTGTTGCTTCTAGTTTCCTATTGCAAGTATTGTTTTGTTATTTTTACCATGCTTAGCTTTATATTGATATTGTTCCCTGTTAGTTTCACATTCATACTTGTACATGATATTAAGACTAGTAGGTATCTTGACTGTCCCTCGTCACTTCTCCACCGAGGTTATTCTTAATACTTATTGGGTACCGCTGTGGTGTACTCATGCTATGCTTTCTGCACATTTATGTGCAGATCCAGGTACTTCGGAGTTTGTTGATCATTAGCTAGTTGATCAGGCATTGTTGTGGAGACTCAAGGTAAACCTGCCATTGCGTTCGTAGGCCTTGGAGTCACCTTCTGAAGTTATTTGTACAGTTTATTTCTATTCTAGAACAATTGTACTTAAAAATTTCCTAATGAACTCAATAGAGCTTTTGATTTGTACTACCTATTTTGGGATATTGTATTGTACTTGAGATTGTTGGCTTATTATAGAAATTTCTGTTTGACGCTTCATAGTTAATTGGTTAAAATGAGTTATTAATGCTACAAGTGTTAGGCTTACCTAGTCGTAGAGACTAGGTGCTATCACGATATCCCACTGAGGGAAATTGGGGTCGTACTAAAGTTGGTATCAGAGCTCTAGGTTCATAGGTGCTACGAGTCATAAGCGAGTTTAGTAGAGTCTTGCGGATCGGTACAGAGACGTTTGTACTTATCTTTGAGAGTCTACGAAACTATTAGGAAACTTCATTTCTTTCATTCCTATCATGCGAGTTTATTGATTTTGGAGTTTGAGCCTTTGTCATTCTATTCTCTCACACATGGTGAGAACACGAGCTGTAGTTATTGATGACGCTGCCCCCAGAGCCGGTGTTGCTAGGGGTCGACGAAGAGGCCGAGGCCGAGGAGGAGCACGTGCTGCAGATAGAGAGCCCGCCATAGCAGCTGAGGAGCCACCAGTAGCTTCGATTGGGGGACAGGCACCGGAGGCGCATGTTGCTACCCTGGGACTTCAGGAGACTTTAGCACAGTTCCTGAGCATGTTTGGTACATTAGCTCAGGCGGGATTGATTCCAGTTGCACTAACTACTTCACAGACCGGGGGAGGAGCTTAGACTCCCGTCGCCCATACTCCAGAGCAGCGAGTGCATGTTGGTTAGGTTCCAGGTGTCATGGAAGCACAATCTGTTATTCCGGTTCAGCCTGAGGTCAGGCCAACAACATCTGAGGAGGAGCAACTTAGACTTGAGAGGTTTAAGAAGTATCACCCTCCTACTTTCAGTGGTTTGGCTTCAGAGGATGCACATGGTTTTTTAGAGGAGTGCCACCGTATTCTCCGCACCATGGGTATTGTGGAGACGAGTGGGGTAGCTTTTACTACATTCCAGCTGTCACGAGAAGCGTATCAATGTCGTGTTTACGAGGAGGGTAGCCCAACCGATGCAACTTCACTTTCATGGACTCAGTTTTCAGAGATGTTTTTGAGAGAGTTTGTTCCCCAGGTATTTCGGGATGCATGGCGCGTGAAGTTCGAGTAGCTGCGCCGGGGTACTATGTCAGTGTCAGAGTATGCTGTTAGATTTAGTGATTTGTCCAGGCATGCATCTGCCTTGGTTTCTATGGTTAGAGAGCGAGTCCACAAGTTCATTGAGGGGCTCAGTTATGGTATCCGATTCAGCATGTCTAGGGAGTTGGAGACGGATGTTCCGTTTCAGCAGGTGGTAGAGATTGCTCGTCGATTAGAGGGCATGCGAGGCTAGGAGAGAGATAGGGCAGGGAGGCTAAGAGGCCTCGTGGACCGGGAGGATCTACTGATCCCTATTTTGGAGTTAAGGTGCATCATGGTAGAGGTTTTGTGGGTCAGCCAGTTCAGTTTGCACTTCAGGCTTCACGC